AGCAAGTAATATTTATGGATGGCATCAGCGCGCGCATTAATTAATTTTCGCCTGATTTTGGAAAAAAATACATTTTTATTTTGTTGCCCTCTGACGGTGGTCAAAGTGCCGAAAATGGGCAAAGATGTCTGTTGCCATGCAGGAAGGTGAATGGCAGATAAATATGAAGAGATGAGAAAAAAGACAAGGCTCTGATTTCTTTTGTCCTTTACTTTGATGCAGTGATATATTTTATTTCTTTTACTCGTGATGGTGGCTGGGTATATGTGATGTCCCCACTGAATCAAAAACATTTGTACAATCACTGAAAACTTATTTTTCAAAGTAGTTTCAGTGAGAAAATGGATGTTACAAATAGTTCGCGGTAAAGTTAGCACAATATAGGTATCATCATTCCATGCTTAACTACAGTGTAGGTTTATGATGTCAAAATTTGAAAATGTAGGAACCTTGTTTTTTTTTTACCTGCCTTGTTGTTTTTTCGTCCCTATCGCATTAGATTTGTAGTCTGAGGAGGATGCCATCCGTACAATTTACTTGCTGTGGCCTACAGCAGATTAAGCCCGCCAGTCCCCGCTGTTTTGATAGCGTATCTTAATGACAATGTGACATCCCCCATGTCACATCCTTCTGATGAAATACCGGATTAGAAAACCCTACCGGGTTCAATTAGAGAGTTTTGAGTGATTCTAACGATCGCCTGGAAACGTCTGCAGATTTGAATCTTCACCCGAGCTTGATTGATATAGGTGAAGTGAGCAGTATGTTGGGCTGTGAAAGATGTTAAATATTTTATAATTTTGTCGCGTAGGAGTTGTAAATTTTCAATAGAAATTTTCTTTTTATATATTTTAAATGCTTTTTCCTTCTCAAAAATGCCGCTGGGATATGGCAAGGACGTATACAGGTTGGTGATATACCATCAACAATTTCAAATCGCAACGACCGTTTAACAGAAGGGAACGCGCGGCGACAATGGCAAAGAGAGTTAGTAACAAAAACATAGAATGTTGCAAAAAAACAGACCTACAAGTAATTACGGCAGTGTTTCAGAACGCATTACCACTAACGCATTGGCAATTTCCGAAAGAGAATTACACGTTTTAGAACTGAGCAGCATTAGCGAATCGACATGACTACGTTTTCAGCACCTTGGACAGAACTGATTTTGATTCAAAGTGTGACAGGTTATGAGCTGATCCCTCTTTCATTAGCATTCAAACCGCAGTATACAGGGGAGTATGGCAAGTGGCTCAACTTTCATTATCTACTTAATGGGCTTGAAAGAAACGTAATTTGTCTTCATAATCTTGCGTTTCTTTGTGTGAAGTGAAGTTCTGTCAAAATCGAACCTGATGGGTTAAGCTAACCTGTAGCGACTAGTCCAAGACAGCCAAACCATCGATACCTGTACGGGGAACTTAAAGGGACAAAAATTCAAATACTTTAATTGAAAAGACTATTCGTGTGATTGAAATTCACTTCCACTTTTCAGCATATTTATGGTTGTCCCTTAAATAGCCCACACAAGATCTAGAGGCACTCAGTGTGGCGCCACGTGCACTACAAAATACTAATGTGTAAACAAACATGGCTGACAGCTGTGTTTACAGCTTTTGAACACACTCATACGGCGTCGTCCTTTGGCACATCCAATGCCGGATTGGCACATATTAGCAATGTATTAGAGTTGGTTGAACTTGCCTTGTAAAGACGTTACCAAACTGGAAAAGTAACATTTGCAAAGCAAATGCATAATGTTAACCTTCGCACATGGTCTGCTCTGTTAATTCGTACTCAAACACATTCACATATATGGTGACAGGAGTCTAAATCCCTCCTACTATAAAATTGCAACATTATGTAACCCAACACCAGTTACCATCGTGAGAGACAGTCAGGTTCAGTCAGGTCAAAGGTCACTGTTAGGAAAAGAAGAACAAACGTAGCAAAAACAATATGTTTTTCTTCAGTAATCATAAAAACAACTTTTTGTATCATCCTAATGTTAGATAGTGATGCAACTTTATGCCCCATGCATCACACACTCAGAACCTTTCCCCTACCGACAACCAACGCAGGTTGGCTGAAGTTCGGGAGCAGTCTGAACACTTGAACTATATAGCTAAAGGTTGGGGACTTGTTGCGCTGGTGGTTGGGAGTAGGTCGGCAGTGGTCGGGCGTGAGTACGAGTCAAATGTGACTCAAGTTAGATTAGATTCACATTAAAAGGTAGGCGTAGCCTAAATTCTGGTCTGCTTCAGCCAACCTTGGTTGGTTAGAATTCGGGAGAAGGTTCTAAATATGTGATAGGGGCTTATCTTGTTGTTTTTTTTTAATTGTGCGTACCTAACGCACAGTGTCAGGCATACCTATTAGACTGTTAATGATATAGTTATTATTCTGAATAATCAGATTTCAGTATCAGCATGTTGTAATCTAGGCGTCACACGCGCGTGTGGCTATCCCAGATAACGCAGTATCTCTAATGTACGCTGACTGACACTTTATCTTAATCTGACAACGTATATATTATTTCTGTAGAACGGTTATCACATTAAAGGCATCCAAATCAGGTCAGCAAGACAATACAATCTACCTTTCTGAACACATTACTAGTATTTCATACCGTTGAAGCGTTTGAAATAGCCCAAAAACAAGTAACGTAAGAAGTCCTCTTATTTTTTTGGTACCACCAAGAAATAGTAAGAATCAGCCAATGTTATGAATCAATCAACTAGTTAACTATTTTTGGTCAGTGGCATCACATTTTTGCCTCGCGGATATCTATACGAGGAAATTGACTATGAAAGTCCAGTTTTTGAAAATCCAGTTCAAACTTGCTTCAAAAGAATGTGTGTATTGGTACAATTTATATCATATCGTACTTGTACTATGCATAAATGTAGTAAAATACATGAATGTCCCAAAACAATGTAAATGTACCCTTACGGACATACCCCGTTACAGTGTGCACTATTTACCGATATTCTGAAAATACAGTGTCAGATAAGCATCATATTCATAAACCATAACACCAGAAACCCCACGAAGGCGAAAACAACGTGTATCACATACAAGCACATATATTCTGAATGCCTTGCGCTATATACATGTATATATAACCGGGTACCCCCCCCCCAAAAAAAAACACAGCATATTTAATTACTTGGCGAATGTTTCCATAAGTGTGTAGACTAATGAATACGCGACACGATACCGCACAATGTTTCCGTAATGAGGCGAGCCACTGGCATTTAATCAATCAAATATATTGGCATAACAAAACCAGTTGTACCGTATTTATACTGTACATCTTCAACGTTTGGCGATTGTATATAGGATAACAATGATGCTAAACAAAGGAAAGAAAAACGGTAAATATGGTATAAGCTTAAATACAGGGCTGAGTATATGGCACAGACACTTAAAGCTGCATTCTGTAACTTTAGGACGATACAAGAAAAATGTACCATTCATTTCTTTATGTTATTTCTTTTAAGTACATGTTGTAAGTTGAATCAACCCTACTCCATTGCTAGATATCATTAAGGAAGTAGAGGTGCCAAAATACACAATTTGAGTGTGTTCAAAGATTGAAACACAGCTTTTAACCTTGTTTGTTTACATTCTGGTATTTTGTTGGTACCACAAAATGAGCGCCCCTCGTGTGAGCTGTTTGAACGCGAACCATAAATGTAAAAAAGTGACGTAATTAAACAACCATATTAAAAATAATTGAATGAAAATGTCTGATATGAAGGCCTTTTCAATAAAAATATTTCAGTTTTTGGTGCAAAAATGCTACATACTGCTCTCTTAAGCTAGCTAAACCAGGTTGAAGTATATGACATTCCAGCCTTCGTAGCAGGCTTATAGAACTGATTAGGTGGTCTTCGGCTGTTTTCTGATTAGCCCAGTTCTAAAAACGGGGGTAATTCAACCAGGCCAGCTATGTTGTCTATATGCAATCAGAAAATAGCACATAAAAGCTCCCAAAGATCCTGAAGTTTTTGGCATGCTATGGAGGTTAATGACCTTCCTGCATGTCTGAAGGGTACACAAGGCTGAAGGGTACTCCAGGAGCGAATCACATTCGATACTTCACGATCTCTCTAACGTAAAACCCATCCGTTTCTACCTTAGCTAATAGAGTGGTTAGGGAAGATCACACGTGGTCGCACTTCAGCGACCACTCACGCACGCGCGAAGTCTTCCACTGGGAAGGGGATCGGGTCAAACATTAACTCGTCTGACGGGAAGGCTCCATTAGATTTCACAGGGATTGTGTTAAAATTCAGGACGGCGACTACGGGCGAAATTAGTTCGTCTGTGGCTGACCTTCGTAGTCATGGTCGGTATTACAGCAACTCAGAAAATAGGGGTGCCAGAGTATACAGTGCAATTCTACTAGTAAAATTTCACTATATATTAATACGATTGTACTGTATTCCGTAAAATTGCACTTGTGAACTGGCACTGTTTGATTTGTAGTTAATTCTTAAGAGTTATATTAAAGTTTTTTTGTTTGAAAAAAAAACGGTACCTTTATTTATTCATTAGAAAGCTTAAATTGGTCGCTTTTCATTGAAGTCATTAGGGAAGAGTTGAGGGTTAGGGAAAAAATATATAACAAAGATACATTTCATTGATATTGTTCAGCTAGAGCTAGTAATGGCTATGTTGACTTATTTCTTGAGTAAACAACATTAACGTTTAAATATTTACTTTAAATCAATGTAATATCTGGAAGGACAGAAACACATGCCAAACGATAACACTAACTGATAGGTGTTTTTTTGTTTCAATCAAAGTCAGCAACGTCGTATGAAACACTATTAATCCACAAGGTTCACTTCTTTCGACGATATTCTTGACAGAAGAACACATTTCACTAGGAAGAGATGATGAAGAATCTGAGACGAGCCCGTCCGTTCATTCATCTCGGCAAAATTGCCGTTACAATTGTCGGTGTTTATTTTTGATTGCTGCGCCAGTAACCCCGACTGTGCGACGCACGGGGCCGGCCGTCCGTCTGTGTGCGAATCCGGGTCGGTTTGAAAAACCCTCCCATACGCTAAATATTTGTGGAGATAAAAAAGATGTACGGAACTACAGATCTGTGTGATCCGCCGAATCAGGAAGACATGTTAGGTGGAAGGCGGTTGAAACCGTCCACGTCCGCTCCTCTGAGGAAGAGGCGGGTGTCCATGCCAGCCTATCTTCCTGTTTACAAATCTGCAGTCGCGTCCAGGGAAGATAAGCTCCAGTCCATCGGGGAGGGCGTGGAGTTTCACCCCGAGGAACAACAAGACGACCCCTCGCTCCCCAGGTTTCGGAGATTCTCCATTATCGTACCGCCTACTACTACAACCTCCACCGGCAGACCGGAGCCTCAGAGAAGCCGTCGGGCGTCAGTCTCGGAAAACAGCCGCCTGTTGAGGGGCTCCGCGAAGGACACAGAGCGGGCGTCCGCGTTGCAGCCGATTCTGTTCGTGGTTGTCCTCGTCGTGGCAGTGGTCCTCGTCTCGACGGCCTGTTCGAGACTATTTCGCCGACTTTATTAAATGTAAGTTTTCAATTTTTACAGCTCCGACGTTAGAATACAGAGCAGCTCTATTAAATTTATTGTGACTTGTTTTTCTGCCTTGTCTATAGATCGATATATGTATGATAATAAATAGATTCTGGGCGCCATAACTGGTGTGTGCGAGAAAAAAATAATAACAATGGTGCCATTCATCTTTTTTTCCCTCTGACAGTCCGTCAGCTCAAGTGTTATTGATATAACACACAAGTAGATTATTAACACATTGATCTTGCATAGCAGCATTCCATATAGCTGGAGGATTTAGATAATTTGAAACGAATGGGAAGCTTATCATATAATCTGCAGAAAAGAACGAATACTTCGAGCGTTTATAAATTGATAAATCATACATGCACTGTTACAGGTCCGACATATGTGTCTGCGATATCGAATTCGAAGATAATTAATTTTTTTTTGATTTTTTTTTAAATATCATCAGTCAGAAACTTGAATGGGAACTTGAGTGTGTCGGTTTAATGTTATATTTTCGTTTTGAATTATGAATGTAGGGGTACGTGCGCATGTAGGTAATCAAGTTAGGAGAAAATCCAATCGCTGTCTAAAGTAATATGAGAGCCAAGAGTAGGAGAAACCAAGGTAAAGCCAGGGGGGGGGGTCGGCATTGTGTAGCGGATTCACTTCTTAAAGGCACCCATTGCACGCAGTTTCATGAAAACAACAAAAATATCCTGAAAAATATTATGAATTAGGAAATAGATTTACTGTCATTTATTGGCACATTTTTCGTCATTTCATACTTGAAGCGTTTAAAGTAGCCCCAAAACAAGACACGCAAGGAGTCCCTTTATTTTTTGTTACCACCAATAAATAAATAGAACCTGCCTACGATACGAAACAAGCAAACGTTTTCAGTCATCACACTTTTGCCTCAGAGATATCGAAATATCAGTATGCTATAGGATAGGGCTGTTTCGAATGTATTCAACTTACTACATTGAAATAATCGCCAGAAACATGACTTTGAAGACCCGGTTTTACTTCCCTGAAATCGCATTTGGGTGCCTTTAAAATGAACGGTCCTTTCCCGGCGCCAGTCTGTAGTGTTTGTGTACCATCTCCATTCTTTCACCTTCACATTTATCCATGCCTTTCCCTGTCCTCTTGTGTCCTTTTAGACGTTCTCCAAACATTTGAAGACGATCTTTATCGATGGCTGGCTGAGAGACGTCTCTACATGGCGACCAAGAGGCCACGCCCACCCAATCTATCACAGAGTATCTACAACCATTAGTCTAGGAGCTGGCTCCATTCGGACCTTTCAGAGATGCTGGCATCAACATTGAATACATCTGGAAAGAGAGAGAAGACCAAGGTCACACACAGTCTTAAAATAGACCTCTATTCTCGTGCTGAATACCAAATACATATAAAAGGCGAGAGCAGATTGAAGCCACATGTTACGTGGCCCTTATAGTTTATTATTGTAACGTTATGGTTTATTTAAAAGATATAAATATAGACTGTTATCTTGTTGCCTTGTGAAGACGCCTTAAAATGCCTGTAAACTAGCCTATAATTGTATTTTGACAGAATATTAGTTTATGATGGGTCGAAAGGGTGAAAGTAAATGATAGAATTCTATACATCCGTTCCTGATGCCGGAAATGCAAATGATGTTATGAATGATGATATTCAATGCGATAATATTAAACAAAGGGTGAGCAGGATGTGATGTCACCCTTGGCACTGTTTAGGCAACTAAACCTGTTGTCCATACATAATATTGTAATATACGATACAGAATTAGCTTCGCGTGACTCAAGGCAAAACACAGCGTACTTGTGTTGGTTGGGTATTATGTTGGGTCACAGTCAGTGGTGTAATATTGTCTTTATGTACATAATGATGAGAAAACCTTACAATATGTTATAACGTCAAAGAGCAGTAAAAATGGATTTTCAAACTCAATTTTCTGGCCATTTTTTAATGTAGTACTGTAATTAAGTTAAACCATCAACCTCTTTGTGTTGTACTTCCTTAAAACGTTAGCTATCCCCTAGCTAGCATATATATACTGAAATTGTGAAGAAAAAAAACCCTGCGATGTCGCTGACGGAAAACTGTTGCTTGTTTCGTATCGTCGGCTGTTTCTAGCTATTTATGGTGGCACCAAAAAGAAATGTAACTTTTCATGTAGATTGTTTTAGGCTATAGCTGTTTTAAACGCTTCGAGTATGAAAAAATGACGAACATGTGCTAAGAAATAGTAGTAAATGTCAATATCAGACAGATTTTCTCTTTCAGAATATATATTTTTTTGCATCAGGGTATTTTACCGGCCCCAATAACAGCCGGTACGTCTTTCAGCAAGGTTAACCGAATTCCAGTCGGTAAAAATTCCCGGGAGTACGCTTATTGACCTGGGCGGGCCAACAACACACCCCGTACCGATGGGATTCCATAGAAGCTCCCGATACGGTGTCATGCCCACCTGTATGATACCCACAAGAGAAATTTACGGGCAGTCCCTTCCCCAATGCACACATTTAATCAATCCCCTTTGAGGTAAATTGCTCGCGATAGAATGAGGCTACTTTCCTCATTAGCAAGCCGTCCGCTAATACCCCAACTAAACAACGCTAACATGAAAACACGACTAGGTCGGCCCTCACTTGTCTTAAACACTCAAATCACTTAGAAACCCCGCAACTCTGGGTTGTCATGGCCCTCACGCGTGGGGCTAGCCTGGTATCCAGACTTATCGTGGTAGGGGTGGGTTTTCCTCGGGGATGCAGGAGCTCTTTCCCGCAGACTTCAGCCAGGTTTCCCGGTAGGTATTTCACGATGGGAGACTGGTGGGCCAAATCAACTCCCGGCGTACCATCTCCATTAGTGTAATACTCCTACCGGGCGGCCTGTTGTACTGGGCGGGGGGAAACTATTAGAGCCCCGAGGACACCATGTCCCAGCCACGATTAGACTGGATACCAGCCTAGCGTGGGGCAGAAGGCCCGCTCTTAATGGTCGTCACACAATTGAAAGCGGTCGTCTAACAGAACTGACTGCACAGGAAATAAAGTCGGCGGTTTGACGTACAACATTGTGTGGACAGACTTAATGGAATGGCACGGCAAATAAAAGTTCTATAAGTGTGTATTTGTACAGGTTCAAGAGAGCAGTATATGTTTTTATGTTTCTGGGGCCATATTGTTTTCGTCAACGGCCACCAGCAAGGTTATGTTTTCTCGTGTAAGGTTAAGTCAAGGAAGTGTAAACTATAAACCTTGGTGTGTCGTGAGGGAAAGGACTATAGGAAGGAACATTTTGGCGTGTTGCGTTTGGTATAAAACTACACTAGTCGCGAGACTTAATTGCTGTATGGCACTGTTTGCGTATAAAAGCCCTCAATAATACTTTAGATCTACTCTCCAAGCAGAGGTTTGGGGTTATTTTTGGCGTGATTTAAGCATAATCGGGTTCCCTTTTTTTGCACTGGAATTTGGGTTGGGTGAAAAAAATTCCAGTGCAAACAAGAAACCATGATAAAAAAAATCCTAAAAACACACCAAAAATAACCCCAAACCCAAACTTCTGCTTGGAGAGTACTATTACTTTAGATCAGCATTTTGTTTCTATGCCAATAACATCAACATTGGGATTAGAAACAGGGTTGGGTTAGCGGTAGCCGCTTTTACAAATCTCTAAAAAGGATTTTGAAAAACAAAGCTTTTCTACAATTCATGTACAATTTCCACAGTTACCGGTATGTGTGGATCTGAAACTTGGCAGTTGACTTCAAACGTGCAGAGATGGGTTATGGATGGTATTTAGGGCTATAATACTGGTAATCCAATGTACAATCAACTTTTAGAATGAGTAACATTTTAATGTATATATACACAGAGTTTATACAACATGGGATAAATGATAAGTAAACACACTGATGTAAACATTCCTTCAAACGTTGCATGATGACTGTACAACAACAAGCTCTTAAGTCTAATTTCCGAAAATAATTTCATAAGGTTTGGTAGAGCATAGGATATAGGGATTTTTTATACGCAACCAATACTTCTCTCACCTTGCATATCTATCAGACACCTTCCTCAGAGCTTCTGACTGGATCTAGCTAGAAACTATGAAGTAGACTGGGAGGTGGCACCTACTGTGGTAAAGACAATAGACAGAGAGGACAAAAGAAGGATCCGTTGGATCAAGGAGACTGTCTGTATATGTACATCGGCTACATAAAGCGGCAAGAAGCAGTACTCCAGTCAGAAGCTCTGGGGAAGATAAGAAAGGTGGGAGAAGTACATATATTGGTGGTGTGTAACAATAAGAAAATCCTAGATAAGTCTGATGTTCTGATCCATTGGGACATTTATGATACACAAGGAATTTCAGTCAATGTAGTCAAAGTCCTCGGGTATGCCAAACTGTTTGTCCAACACACTCTCCTCAAAGCCAAACTTCCTCTTACACCAGGACTTGATAGAGAACACGTTATCAGTCCATCTGTTAGCTGCATCCTTTGCAACCTGTTTGGGGAAAAAATGTTGAGCTTCATGTTTTATCTAATTTTCATCGTAAATGTATACGTAAATGTTGAGGATGGTTTACAGGTACAGCACAAAAAGTTAAGGCAAGCATAGACTATCTAAATGAAATCAGTAGCTTCTAGAAATGTCATATAGAATATTGAGTTTTAGGATATGCTGTGCAATTGTACATGTAAGTCATAGTAATAAACCTAATCCTTTCCTCTCTGTCTGTAGAATTGCTGATTCTACTGGCGACAGGAATCAAGATTTGGCCTTAGCTGGAAGTATGATTCTTTCTGGTTTGATGTTCAATACCATGAAAAGCAGGGTGTATGTGTGGTGTTACTGGTGTAGATCATTGCGTTCATTGAGTTACTCTAATTTTGTTGCAGATGAGAAGAAAATGTTGTATTTTTGTGTGGTATGAGCTTTAAAATTCCTGTACTTGAATCTACTAGTTATGTTACACTGTACATGTATATATATATATATATATATATATATATATATATATATATATATA